ACTTGCAAAGGCTGCTACATTCCCGAGAGCCTTTTTACAGTCCTGGTGAATTACTAATGCTTACGCACTATAAGGGAAGAAAAAAARTAGAGCAGCCCATTTGCATCTGTTTTATTAGTAGACCTTGTGGAAGATATTGCTCAAATTGGAAGCAGTAGGAAGAATAAAAAAAAAAAATCAGGCCGCTCTGAGCATGTGCTTTGTAAGCAAGCAATGAAGAGGAAAACATTTACCATTAAAAAAGCAGTAGTTGGCGGAGCTGATAGTATTCCTTTGAATAGTGAAGGAAATGTGCTGCTTGCTTCGTGGTGTTRCTTTCCTCACAGCTCTTGGAATCAAAGGGGCAGGTGGTTTTTCAAGGTTTTTCACGCCATCCTTGGCATGATGAGAAATGGACTGTCTTCATCTTTTAATGGACTTTATTTAAGATGAACTTCATTTTTGCAAGTACTTTGATATTTAGCATTAATTCCCTGTGCTATGGCAGTAAGCATCAAGCTGAGGTTCTTGGGTAACTGTCTAGCATTTGGTGTGCTGGTGTTCTTGGTTTTAATACTCTGAGGTAGAAAGTAATGCAAAGGAGAGGAATAGTGAAGGGAAACCTAATGCAAACCCTGCTTAGGATGTTCTTCATACAGGAAGGTAGAGTAGCTCAACCATTTGACAGAGCTAAAACCATGACTTGGCTTCACACAGTTGAGCAGGTGGTAATTGCTCCTTGCCTTGCAAGCACATAGACTTGCTGGTGAAGGTAGTTGCTTGTTTTGAAGACAGCTCGTTTATAAGGCTTTCTTCAGTTGTTTAGGATCTAAACTGATGTTTACGGTTTAAAGCCTGCAAAATAAGGAGACTGAAAAGGCAAAGAATTTGGATGAAGTCTGAACAGTCTTGAAAACATTCTGTCCTTGTACCACTCTTGAATGTCACACTGCTAACCTACAGTGGCAAATGATATGGTGTCTTTGTGTGTGATCAAGTTGTGTAGTGGGATACCAGTTGTAGGCTTCCCTCATTCCTTTCTGAGATAAGAGGTGCTCTGGTACATTCTTTATGCTTAGTGATCACTGCATGTACCATCTGAAGGTGTGGGCTAGCAGGAGAGGGTTTGCTTTGATGGCACAAACTTCCTGTCCTTTATATCAGTCAGAGTGGACACTCCTGAGATGTGGTAAAGGAAAGCARAGAGTGAAGAGTCTGAATCCATCCTCAGTGAAAGGCATCTTCAGCACAAGTTTATGCATTATTGATCTGACTTTATATCTGTTCCATGCTTTTCTATAGTTTTAGGCCCTTGATTTTAGAATGGACAGTTTTATACAATGTTATTTCAGTGTATACAAATATCTTAAGAGCAGGTGTCAAGAGGAGGGGACCAGACTMATTTCAGTGGTACCCAGCAATAGGACAAGGGGTAACAGGCACAAACTGAAAGACAGGATATGCATCTGAGTATGAGAAGAAAAACTTTTTACTTTTAGGGTGACAGAGCACTGAAACAGTAGCCCAGAGAGGCTGTGGAGTCTCCTTCTCCAGAGACACTCTGAACCCACCCAGACATGAACCTGTACAATCTGCAGTACAAACCTACTTCAGCAGGGAGGTTGGACTAGATGATCTTTGGAGGTCCCTTTTCACCCCAACCCTTCYGTGATTTCCAGACACAAAGGATGATGGTGGCCACCTTTCAGCAATGACCCATATGGTGTGGAAATAATTCCAAATCCATTGTAAAGTAACAGATGGTCAGAAGAGAGGGGTCCCTCTGTGTGGGGTGAATTTCAGTGTAGTGTGGGGACTGAAGGGTTTAGTGACCAAGGGAGATGGATGMCCTCGCCTCATGCCTTTCTTTCCATTTTACTTTTGCATTAGTTCTCTGGCTTCTCTCACGTTTACTTCATTGTCCTCTCTTACATCCAGAAGCTRCTACAGCCCAGTTAGATGAGGCAGAAAGGTCCATTTAGCAGGAAATTTACTCATTTTTCCCTCTTGCAGAGGCTAACAATTTTGGTCATATTTCAGACCGGCCACTTCTGGAACATGCTAGTCAAAAATGCATGCATCTAGTTTTAGTTAATAGGAATTTCATTGGTTTATCCTTACCTTTTGGATTAAGTTACTCTTTGAGTTTATGCATTAGTMGTTTTTTCCCCCAAAGGTGACCTATCAAACTCTCTAACAGTTGTGACTTGGTGCCAGCAACTGTGATAAGGCCACAGCAGTGATCGTGGTTCAGCTGCAGTGCATGTGATGCCAGCCGCATCTTCAACCCTTCCCTGTCCCGAGCATGGAATTGGTGGTCATGGCCATGCTTTTGCAGGCCCATTATGACTCTGYTTTGAATTCTCCTTAGCCATCAGCAGAGGCTAGAAACTGGTGTCAAGAGAGGAGTGAAATACTGACTTATRCAGAAGCTGTGGGAAGATAATTACACCACCTTCTCTTCCCACAGCCTTCTAATGATACACAGACACAAGASATTTTTTTATTTTTAACATGGAAGTGACTGTACAATACCCCAAGAATCCAGTGAGAAGCAGGTAGGATTCCTACTGTCCATATGCCTTACCCAGCTTGAGTACAACTGTTTGCCCCCTGTGTGGCATTTGCCTCAACATAACTGACAAATTTAGAAAGGCCAGTAGCGATAAAGCTGGGGAAGCCATTCAAAAGTGAAGTGAGAGGGGAGCACAGTTCTGTTATCAGTTCCACGGGCAGTCTCGGCTRCAGCTACGCCTTCCCTTTATAAACAAAATCCACGTCCAGCACTTTGGACAGATACCTGTTTTTACTGAATAGCTGCATCAAGGTACCCATTTGCTCAAAGCACACAGACAAAGCTGCACTGAGACTGAACAGAATTCCATCCTGACCAAGATCTTATCCCTAAGAGTGATCTAGAATGGGGTGTTGAAGAGAACTGTAAGAGTAGAGTAACCATGTATTGATTATTTATTTCCAAGACAGACTCTGATCATTTACAACAATATTTAKCTCAGGGCTGTACTGAGCCAGATGCAGTCTCTTCTAACAAGACAAGACATGGAGCTGCAGGTACCAAATGAAATCCCAGCTAAAAGAGCTGGGATTTTTAGAAGCATCTGCATTAGCAACCTCAGTGTTGTACAAGCTCTTAACTCTCTCAAATGGAATGATCTTCTGTTGCGTATTGCCATGAATCTTTGACCTATAACAGTCTTTTTTTAGATGCTACTTAAAAATCCACACAGATAATGAATATTTAATTAATATCCTGGAGGAAATAATGTTATTATTGCTCCTGTTGTGATGCTGAATGCTACATGCTGTCTAAACCATTTTATCTTGATTGCAATGATACACATTACAACCTTCAGTCCTTATTGAAACTTACTGTTTGTACAATCAGAGATTTTGTAGTGCTCAACTRCTACCACTGCAAAGTATAACTTGCTTGAAACTGCCTTTTAAGGAGACATTTTTAGTGYGTAATCAATGAGTTAAACCCATAGTATCAAAATTAGATTACTTTGSCAACTGGAAGCTAAAACCCAATTTTGTTTCCTAGAGGAATGACGTGAGCAGATCTGGGATTCATTCAGTCCTGTAAACCATGTGAAAAGTCTTCCAACAYTTCCCTACTGCAGCATCAGACATTTATAGTTAATATAAATTGCTCTTCCTGTTAGGTGTCTGTCTTTTAACATTACCAAATTGGTTTTGTAATTGTGCCTATATAGTTGTTTTTTGACTGTGTTTAGCATTAGTACTTTATGTTGCTTCATACAACCTCATACTTACAGTCCCTTAAAGGGACTGATTTGCAAAAGATGAAACAACGGAAATTTCAATTTGTCTTTCTCTGTTTTCTTTTCACATTTATTGATATTCCTGCTTCTGATTTGTTATCCTTTCTCTCCTCAGCAAAAATGTTTTATGTCTTCATTTTTTCCTTCAAACAGAATTTTGTATTTGCAGATTTAAGGTGTCATCCCTCRTATCAAACCTTTTCCTGAGCTAAGTTGTCAACTAATTTGCCCATGGGCAGGAGTGTACTAAGAATTCTTTCCGAGGCTGATAAAACAGTTGTGGGCTTTTGCAAGTGTAACTTATTCCACCTCCAAAACACTCCCCCTACTTTCCTAAAAGAGAAGAAAATGCTGCWGCTGGGAATACTGTTTCCCCCACTGTATTTGCATCTCCACAGCTGTCAGCCAGGGACCACACCTCCTCAGACCCTTGAGCTGTGTGAGACAGTTTCTCCTGTCAGCATGGCTGTGCTCTCTCCTCCTGTCTGTCCACCCTTCTTAATGCTATACAGAGACCTTAGTGATCCCATGCCTGACATCTTCCCATCACATCACACTTTTCCATTTATGTGAATAGGTTTTGATTTGTCATTACCTCTGACCCTGGCAGCACTTCTGCCAACTTACCTTTCTGGGTGACTACTGTACATAAATAGATGACACACCTGCTTCTATGCAATTTAAAGCTAGACAAGTGTATACTTCTATATTTGCAACACAAAATAAAGAGACACTTAATGGTGGTTACTTGTTTCCCTCTCTTCTAAGTACTCCTTGCACACAGGTAAGAAAACACTCTGTCTTGCTGAGGAGTGCTTCCAGTCCTGGAGTATTGACTGCTTCTTCCCTGTGTCCATGCAAAACTGTCTGGGGGAACAGTTAAGTGCTCCAAGTCTGACAAGTGCCTCTTGATGCACATTTTTTATATGGCGTAGGCCATTCACTGAGATTTCTTCTGAGACAGAGCTTACATTGAAGGAAGCTGACAGGCTTTGTGTGAATCAGGTTCTAAAGCTAACATAGACAATGGGTTTTGGAACCAAGCTCCTACATTGGCTTCCAGATGTCTTAGAACCCATTTTGCTTTAGGAAATACCAGATGCTAAAGACTAAAACCAAAAGTAACATTGAAATAAATAGTTTTTCTCCCTTCCCTAAGAAATTCTTGAAGAAAAGATATATTCTCACATGACCAGATCACAGCAGACGTCTTTTTTCCTTCAATCTMATTTATTTAGTAGCATACACACTTCAGAGTAACACACACTCATCCAATACAGTCAATGTCAGCATTGCATTGTAGTGTTCAGAACGGATGCATGTGGATCATAGAGGCCATTTGATCTTAGTACCTTAAGAATAACAAATAATAACAACAGCAATAAAAAAGTAGCAAAAGCCCTCTGARATACGTAAGGGTTTGGTCCAACTCTCATTGAAATCTTTCCCTCTAACCAGAACTGGATGTTAAGTGAATTTCTCTCTGTACAATATTTAGAGGGATTTAATTTTTACCACTTTGGTTAGATTTCAGCCAAATCTATATCCCTGTAAGGCCTCAACACCCTAATTTTTAAACTTATCTGATCWGTGTGCATTTCTTTCTATATTGCACCTTCCTCCAAAGAATCTCACAGCAGCTTGCAGGCAATAATGAAGGACAGCCTCACACCATTCCCACGAGGTAAGTAGGTCTATTCCAATCTGTAAAATCAGAACAAAACAATGCCTAGGATAGGCCTTGGCCTAGTCCAAGGCCAAAAAATAAACAAGTCAATGACAAMGCTGAGGGAGAAAAGTCCTAGTCCTACTTTTTGATTCACACAGGAATGCAGCAGCTACAGCACTGCTGCATCTAACTAGTGAGTTTAAAGACCTTGGAGCCTCAGTCACAMGTCACCTGTCCAGCACCAAAGTGCCTCTAGTCCAGCATCTCTGACCCTGCCATGGAATCCCACAAGCTCAGCATCTCCAGAGTGAGGCACTATCTCAGCAGATGCACTAATGAACGACATTCTGGCCTTGCACACAGACAAATTCCTTGGTTATCATGCATCAGTTCCTCCTGTGTTACAAGCCTGTGCACATGYATCATGTTGACCCTCTTGACAAATGTAAGCTTATTCTAGACAACTTACCCCACAGTGAAAGAAGGCCATACTGCTTGCTCACACTAGCCAGTGTGTGTCTCCACAAGACAGGGGCTCTGTGCCCTCTGATGAGAAAGGAATCTAAAACTTACTCTGGGGCAGTTTGCTCCTGAGCTCATAGCCTCAGCTCCTTAGAGCTCCACTGCTCAGTTGCAGTCCTRCACTTGCAGTTTGCTACGGAAAACTGCCTCCTTCTCTCCTTTCCCGCAACAGCAACAGATGATTGTGATTTCTTCTTTTCTAATTCCCTAGCAAGGCAAAGAGCCATTCCAAAACTAAATTGCTAGAACTATACTTCTTCTAGAATGAGTTTCCAGATCTGTGTCTGCTATAGCAGAGATTTTCCTTTTTCTCTGACCTTTCCAGCTACTGCAGTGGAACAGACCTYCTCCATGTTTTCCCCATGACCATGCACTGCAACCCATCCAGGTGCTACCAGGAGTTGTTTTTTTTTTAGCTATTCATACAATATCCCTTCYAGTTTTCCTTTAGAACTGGACAGTCATTGTAAAGGTTTGTCTTAAAATCTCAACTGGTATTTGAGCACCAACTTCCACTGTTTAGATCTCTCCTCCAGAAAATAGTTACAGTGGTGCAAAAGATTCACATGTGTGGTAAAAGAAAAAAGAAATTTAACTCTGATAATTAATTCACTAAATGAGTTCTATCTTGATGTTATTTCTTTTATAATTCCTTTTAATTATGGTAGGACAGCTTGCAATTGCAGTCTCATAAAAAGGCAGTTCATTAAAGTCCTGCCTGTGAGACCTATTTACTTGCTATTCTCCTTAAGCACTGCTATTCTCCAGTGGCTATCCAGTGGCTTACCTGTTGGCTGCAGAAAAGGAGAAATACTTCTTTTTTTTTTAAACTGTATGAAATTCACCACAAATTCATTTCTCATCTCATAGCAGTTCAAAAGTTAGGAGGCATCTGGAATGATACAATCTGTGCTCATTGTCATTGCAAAAAACCCCAATGTAAACGCTCTGAAACTTCTAAGTGAAAAATTCATTAATGTACTATCATAAATATAAAACAGAGAGACTCTGGAAGGCCACAGAAATCATCTGAATTTGCAGTGAACTGCAAAAGTAATTACCAGTTTCAGACAACTTCTGGTYTCAGATGAAATATTTCCACGTCATTATTTCCTAGAGAATACCTACTGTACGTCRTCTAACTATTGTGTCACAACTGAACTTCAATTTCAATACTGCTGTTTTGTTTAGAGAAAAAGTTTAGATGAAAAAGTAATTAAGTCTGACTGATCTTTTAATACCGTAGTGTGTTACCCAAAGGAACTCCTTTCAGAAATTGTTTTAGGCTCTTCAACTTGAATTACAAATATTACAGATTTCATTCTAGATCTGGACTCTATATGGTCTTTTTCTGCTCATGATAACAATTATTATKGAAACAGCAGTTTCCCAAATGTGGAGTCAACTTCATATAGCTAAAGATCTCAGAATCTCTCCTGAGCACCAGGATACCAGCATAAGACAGCAATTTCTGATGATTGTGCATTACTACCTTCAGATGTTGAAAGGGCTTTAACCACCAACTGGTAAKGTAATTCTTACCTGCATTGTGAAAACTGCATTACCACATTATTAATGCTAAAACACAGAATGTGAGTGAACATGTGACTAATGATAGTACTTCAACTGCCAGTATTTAAAAAACTGTTCCAGTGACTAGAGGCAACCAATGGAGAAGATATGTGAAGCCATTGCAAGAAAACAATTCAATCTTCCTTGATTTTAACCTAAAAACTGAATTTTCTGTGGTGGTGTCTGGACCACAGCAAAAGAATTAAACACATATCACCCTGTGATTCCAGATGGGGAAATATATTGATATTCCTTCACCCAAACTTCCTGGAGTTAACAGCTGATACCTTGGAGGAAGGATGCCTGGGAATTATCACATGATTGTGGAAAGCTGTGAATGCAGAAACATTACCTTCCTGATTGCTGTGCCGGTTTATACACATCAGTGGCAGCATCATATTTGAGAACAGGAATGTGGCCAAGAAGTCACGTGCATTAGGAGACAGTCAAACCATGATCTTAAGAGATCACACGGGTTGCTGACTACTAGTGTGTGCATATAGGGGTTTTATCCTTAAAAAAACCCAAGCCTTCGAAAAAAACAGATCCCTGACCAGTTTGTGAAAGATCATCAGTGATTTTCAGAATTGCAGTTCAGCTACCATTTCTCTCCAAGTTATTAACTTTCCAACAGCCCATCCATCTGAAAAGTCAAATGTTTTTTGAGACAATAGGCTGTATTCTCTCCCTAGAGTATTTGTAATCTCCTGAGCAGCTACAGAAAAAGCCAAGGCTGTTCTTGGGTAGAAGCAAGACTAGGTGGGGAAGAGGAGGAATGGTCACCAGCAGTTTGCCACATGAAGCCACTACAAACTGCTGTCTTTCTTTGCTCCCAGTTTCTTGTGATTATCACCCACTTGCACCTTGCTCACACTGTAACATAATGCAGCAGAAGTTGTTGGTCCAACCTGCAGTGTACCCAGGAGCAAGAGGACTTGGAATTAGGAGAAAAACAATCTGGTTTCAAAACTATGCAGTTCCCTGAAAAATTGTTTTTTTCCTGCCCTGAATCCCCAAGCATTTGCCCTGGTTCACTAAGAAGTAATCTGGAGTCCCATTTTGCCAGGAATCAGAATCTTTCTGGTTTATGACACAGACCTCTTGACTCATGCTGGTGTGATTCCCAAGTATGGAGATCTTCATTCTCTGAGGACCAGTCTCAAGTTCGTCTGGTGCAATACAGACCAATCTGGAGCGATTTATTTAGGTTCATAGAGGGCTGATGCAAAGTAACTTTGATCACTGACTGCTGGGTTCTGGATGCAGCTCCCTCTGCACTGACGACCTCAGGAGTTTGGAGTTAAAGGTTTCCTTCTAACTGAGTTTCCTTCTACTTCAGTAAAGCAGAAAGTTACAGAGAAGCCCTGCAAGTTTTGTGCCTTTCTCAACTCATCTTTCAGTGATGCTTTCCAAGATGCCAATCAAATTGTCCAATCCCAACAAGTACCCATCCTCCCTGTTGCCTTCTTGCCAGGGGATCCTGTGATCCAGTGTTTGCCCATCAGGAAGAAGAGTAGTCTTTCCAAAATCAATGAGCCACACATTGGCATTCCCACTGCCATCATGTACAAAAAGTAGTGAACTTCCGACGACCTGGAAGACAGATTGAGACAATGTGGTTAAAAATACATCTTGAGCCCTCCCCATCACTGAGCACTTCCTGCTAAGAAGATCATCTCCTCAGCTCACCTGTGACCCAACAGACTTTTGGGCTGCACTTATACACTGATGATTTACACGCTCTGTTTGCATAACCATATCAATCAGTAAACTATAAGTTGGTGTGTAGATAAGAAATGGAACTCAGTAGAAAACAGGAAGAAAAGCAATTCTTCATCTTACTTAGCATCAGGTCTCAATTGGAACAATTTCAGCAAAGGCCAGTAGCTCCTTTCACAGACAGATGACGACCCATGATTAACAAAAATATCATTAGTGATAAGAGGACATCAGTAAGGTAAAATAAAACATCTAATCTCAAAATCTTGAGCTGTTACCAAGCAGAACTTCCAAGGCTAATGATGCTTCTGCACAGCAGAGCACTCAGAACATGCACAGCAGAATTAAAAGGTATTTCAGCATAAATCCATTGTAACGAATACAGCCTTCATTGTCCAACTACAATTGAATGCTACTGTACTGCTRCTGTACCAAACAAAAGCTTCCACGTTGCCATTCCTCAGTAAATAGTCCCACTGGAGCACACCGAGATTAGAGAAACCAYAGGAAACTGATACTAATTAACTATTCTGTGCAGTGGCCTAGAGCCACATCCCAGTGCTGGGATGTCATAAAGACAGGAGGATTTATCATTCCTCAACTAGTTCAATCTTCTGTATCATTGTGATGGAGGCCTTGTGGTACCTGTGTTGTCAAAATGTACTGGCTTTCTTCTGCAAACCCCTTTCTACTCATACAGAAGGCTGTTCTGAAGTACACCTGAATGATCAAACAAAGAAGTAATGCACCTCCACAGCTTTACACTTACTGCTCACCTCATGTCTTTTGAAGAAATCAGAGGATTCAAGAATGACATTAATCTCCTGCAGACGCTTGAGGTATTTTTTCTGGAGGAAGAAGAGAAACCAAAACCAACCCATAAGCATTTCACTGAAGACTGAATAAAGATGATCTGTTTGCAAGTCAATATAATGAAGAGACCATATTTATTTTAGGCTAGAGGTCCTTCAAAACAACAGGTTCATCATTTGAAAGTCAATCTGAAAATACATTTCAAGCTTTCATAGTGATTTAACAGACTGGAGTTCATCTGCTGCATGTTACACCAAGCATATTTATCTGTCTTGATTTGGATGTCATGAGGATTTCTGCAACTGTTCTTTTTTCTTTTTAATAAAGAGAAAAAGGTGTCAAAAAATTAAAAATTTTCAAGTTCCCCAAAGTGAAAAGAAATATATTGTGTTAGAGAGACAAGGAGCTTCAACCATGGCAGGGGCAGTGGGGGGATAAAAAGAATCAAGTCCTAATTTATAAAGCTTTAGTGCAGATTTTAAATGCTGCCCTGAGCTACCAAGCACGCTCCTCCTGAGGGACTAATCTGCCTTCACAACAGCTCCCACACTGCAGCAGAACACTACAGCATCCTTTGAAGTTCCAAAGACAAGAGATGTGTTATGCCATCTACCACATGCCTGCTGTGCTACCCATGATTTAGCACACAGGAATTCCTCTGTGAGATAAATTTCACACATGGGAGCACAGCTAGTCACCAATCTCACTTCCTGCCTCCACGCTCTGGTTTTATCCTCTCCAGACTGAAATTCCAAATCGCAAGTTTTCCTGCCAACACAGTCCTTACTTAGATATCACCCATCCAATGCATCTAACGCCCATGGTTGAAGCTGATGGCAACCCATAARTTAGTTAGTTTGAATGACATTTTGATATCATAAGGCTTTTGGGGTCAGCTTATGGCAAGAGCTGACAGAACTGGTCTCAGGCAACTTCTCACAATCCACAAAGTCCCCATGTCCACCCCATCTCCTGAGTGCAATTGGAAATCAAAACCACTTACTTCCTTGGTAGTCTAATTCATATTTCATGTACCAAAGAAAGCATGGCTCTGAGACAAATGCATTGGTCCAAGACCAGTGCACCTGAAGAGCTCAGACTCACCAGAATAGTTGTGTTGCCCTCAATGAATTCCACAAAAACCTGTAGAACTTGCTCCTGTGTCTTTGTAGTTTTGAAGTTTGTGTTACATGTTCCATCTGCCTTCTGCACAAAACCACATACAGACAGAGATTATTTATACTGCACACATCATTCCCCTCATCAGCCAATCCTCTTGAACCAGCAACAGCTCAGCCCTTGCTAAACAGATGAAAATAAGTAGCTGAACAGGAAGAGAACAGATAAACCAAGCAAGAAGAAGAGAAGAGATACAAAAGCTGATTGGATAACTTTAAATGGTACTAGCACTTCATTTCCTGTTGAGTACAAGTTAAAAAAAAACCAAAAACTCATATTACCAGCTTGCAGGAGGGTTTTCTCACATGCCAGTGCTAGCAGTGCAAAGTTCAGTGGGGCAAACCACAGAGACCTCTTTGGTTCTACTCTTGTCTAGCTACTGAAACCCTAGCAGAGGGTGTAAGGGAACATTTCCAAACCAAATTTTACCAGTCCTTTTAGCTTGGGGGTTTCTTTTGGGTTTTAGTGAGGATTTTTTATTGTTATGTGGGAGGTTTGTTGTTGTTTCTGTTTTTCAATGGGGAAATCAAATAATCGCAGTTAGAATTCAGTTCCAAATATAACTTTGAACATAAAATGTGACCYAGAAGTCACAGAACATAAATCTGTTGCAGACAGGAATAACTTGGGACTTGCAATGCTAGCAGTGACACAGCAGGTGACTGAATTTTGGCAAAGGACAGTATAGGCATGCTTGTTCAAAGTAGATCCTGGAGAAATTTAGAGTATTTTTGTACTAGCAGTAGATTCAGTACAGAAGCATACTGCAAGTGAAAAAAAAAACCAAGTATTTTTATGTGCTTTGGGAACTACAAGATAAATAAGAGCAGCGCATGAATTGGAGGTCTGTGTAAACATAGAATATATGAATATGCACATCTACAAGAGTATCCCTCTAGGTTCAAGAGACACAAATGGGAGATTTGCACAAAATATGGCAATTATTACAGTTGGTAACAAAAATCCACTAAAAGCCTACAGGATTATCAAACTGTTTTCCTCTCCATTGCATCAGTCCAATCCCTCATTTTCATTATGAGAAAATAAGCAGATAAAAAAAAATGCTCTCTCCCACATGTTAAGTCACTGCACCAAAATGACAAATTCAGGTCCAGTCTCAGCAGGTGAAACACTRTTTATTCCACAGCTGAACTTGGTTTCTAACATATACATGAAAAAATTAAATAATGCTAAAACTCCAGATCTCTCATGCACAAGAATTTTATCCTAAGGCCGTGGGACAGATACAAGTACAGCATATCAGCCTGATGAGACGTGCAAGTTATGCCAGATCAGTTCAGCAGGCAGGCAGTGAAACTTAGGAACCATCTGATCTGATATATGATAATATTCAACAGCACACAGAAATTGGGAACTTCATCTTATACCTTTTCACTGGAGTAAGATTGTTTTAAAAATAATTTCTCCTTAAGCCACAGATTGTAAAGTCTGGAATAGCTACTCTGTGTTCCCTTTTCAACCTTTTGTGTCTGGACAAACTAGTTGCTTTTTTCTCTGTGATTGARAAACACTTTTATGATTTTGCTCCTTCCCAGTGGCTGGCAGGAAACGTAATTACTGCCTGTCTTTACTTGCTGTAAACAACATGCAGATTTTGAATGACACCACCCCAGTATTCTAAACTAGGGCTCTGCAACAACTCTGGATGCAGCTGATCCTCAGGAGGCACTTGCCTGACTCCCTCCTTGAAGTCACACTTTTGGTAAAGACTGCACATGCATTCCTGCACAGCAGAGCAGTCTGTCACAGATGTGACAGTGACATTGCTTGCAGGAGGGCAAGTGTCACAGCTCCATAAAAYAGTGCTGCCTATATTAAACTATGTGGTCTTGCTCAGAATCCTCTGCAGACTTGGCTTCAAGGGCTCTGGGTTAACTTAATGGATTCACAAAGATTTATAGATCAAATCTGATGATATCCTGGGATAAAGGCTATCCCTGATCTAAGGCTAAAGGAATGGTACCAAAGGAAGAYATAACTTTTCAAACTGCACAGACATTCACTGATGGAATGGGAAGACAGAAATCCCAATTCTCAGCCCCAGGCATCTCTGCTCTGCAAAACATTAGCTTAGTATTGTAGAGAAAATGTTTGATGCCTGGCCTTCAGACARCCTCTGTCAGAGAGGAAATGTGCATTTGGAATTGGGCAGGCACAAGACACTGAGCGTCAGGTTCCAGCTGCATGGAAACCAAARGGTGCAAAATATTTTTGATAAAAGGAAAAGTGACAAATTCCATAAATGAATTTGACTTGATTTCAGAGATCCAGAAGCAAGGCAAGGAAAAGAAATGGATCAACCTAAATAGGAAAGGTACCCCACTCCTGAAGGAGCGCATATGGTGATTCAGATCTCATTTATCAGCTGCCAGTTCACAGAACAGCTTACATGATTTCACTTTCTTTGCTTTTGCTTCTTATTCAGGCAGCCACACGGCAGGAATATTTCTGAATGAGCAAAACTCRACACACCTTATCAGCTAACTCCAGGAACTGTCAGTACAAGGAGGGAGAACATCCCCTTTTTCCCATCAACCACTAGCTGGCACCACTGACCCTTACAGGCCTACCATTATGGGGATCCCTGCAGGATAGCTTTGCTGTTCTCCACAGCACTGGATGCACAGTTCACCTCCAGTGGAACAGTGTAGGGAGTACTGACTACCTGTATTGCCTGAACAATTCAGTTTCTGCCACATTTTCTCCATCTAAAAAAATCACAAAACGGTACCTAATTCCTCATAACATCACTGGGAGATAGGGGGAAAGAAATGTGCTCCAAAGCACTTCCTGTACCTAATCAAGAATTAAGTATTCATGTTTTGCAGAGTTACAGCAGTGTCTCCATAGAGGGAAACACTATACAGTCTGTGTGCTGTACTGCTCCTACCCACCACTGACAACCAACAAAACCACAAAGAACAAGCCAGGAGGTTTTTCTGAAGCTCTTCTGTGCTCCCTTAGCTCAGTCACTCTCCAGGACTCAAATCCCTACCTCTTCACTCACCACCTATCTTTCCAAGAACATACATAAAAGGCCTCAAGTTCATTTGGGTTTCCAATTCCATTACACAGAGTAACATACAAAGACCTAAGCTGTATAGGAATAAAACAGGTATCTTGATGACATCATTGCTTGGCTAAAGGGCAAGACAGGATTCTGTGTCTTGGCTGGACTGGAGCCAGATCATCTATTCATCTAGCACCCAGAMGATTCCTGTATGATTATGCCTGTGTCTAACAGCCAGGAGTGGGTGGCACAGCACACAGGGGGCCAGCACTGCATGAGCTGGAAGCCCCAGTTCCTGTATCACAGCAGGAAAATCTGTGAATAAGGAAGGGAGAAGACACACAGGGAAGCAGAGAAGAAAGAGGTTATTTAAAGAACCTCTGTTCATTAGCATAAGCCTCTTCTATCCCTTTCTTATTTCTATGTGCTTGAATTGTGAAATGGAAACAAAAGTAATCCAGGTTCTGGAGTGGTGCAATTGACACGSCTGAAGGATGGGATGCCATCCAGAGGGACATGGGCAGGCTCGAAGGTAGGCCCATGGAAATCTCAAGCAGTTTAAATACAMGGTGCTGCACCTGGGTCAGGGCAACCCCAGGTATCCATTCAAGCTGGGGGATGAACAGATCAAGAGCAGCCCTGGTGAGAAGGGCTTGGGCAGGCTGGTGGATGGGAGGCTGGATATGACCCAGCAATGAGCACTCACAGCCCAAACGTGTCCTGGTCTGCATTCAAAGCAGCRRGGYCAGCAGGGCAAGGGAGGGGATTCTGCCCATCTGTTCCTCTCTCATGAGACCCCACCTGCAGTGCTGCTTCCACCTTTGGGGTCCTCAGCACAGGAAGGACATAGAACTGTTGGAGCAAGAAGGCCACCTACTTGATGGGCCTACCTTAAAGGGACAGAAAAGCTCTCCTATGAGGAAAGGTTGAGAGAATTGGGKTTTTTTCAGCCTGGAAAAGGAAAGGCTTTCGGGTAACCTAAAATTGTAGTTTTTCAGCACTTGAAGGGAGGCTACCAGAAAGATGAGGAGGGATTTTTTTACAAGAGCACATAGTRACAGGACAAGGGGAAATTATTTCAAAGTGAGAGTAGGTTAAGATTAGATATTAGGAAAAAATTCTTCACTGCRAGTGTGGTGAGGCACTGGAACAGGCTGCCCAGAAAAGTTGTGGGTGCCCTATCACTGGAAGTGTTCAAGGCCAGGTTGGAGGAAGCTCTGAGCAACCTGATCTAGTGGCAGGTGTCCTTGCCCACAGTACAGGGGATGGAACACAGGATCTTTAAGGTSCATTCCAACCCAGTCCATTCTGTAATTCTATAAAAGGTAAGTAAGTAATCTGTAGGAAAGAAACATGCCAAGGTTTTACTGTGGTCATAAGGTAGTATCCTAGTAATGGCACAGGGGCACAGACTTATCCATCAAGAACAGCAGATGGATTTGGCAGATAGAGAAATTTCATTTTGGATTGTTCTGGCTTTATTCCAGCTCCATCTATGCTGGATATCATCATGTATTTAAAAGGAAAAGTGATTTCCTTGATCGCAAAAGTATCTCAGCAAATGCTTTTAACATGCCTTGCCAATAAAYATAACTGCAACAAAACCACTTCACTGTGATTCACTTGGAATAAATATGTATAGTTCCTGGATATAAAAAGCCATTGCATGCACAGAGGCAGTTAATACTTCTGTTCTGAATTCCTCCTTACAACAGTCTCATTTTCATTCTATTTGCACTGCCTATCTCCTTGAGTCCTTCCTGTAAGGTCTCTGTTGATTCAAGTATAGCTGATCTGTATTTGATGCTTAAATTCATTGACACTTGCTATTACAATTATAAGAAATGCTTTAAAACTGCAAYAGAGAGAACTCTGTGGTTTCAGTTACTGCATTTTCACACAGTCCTTTGATTGATGCGCACAAGCTTTTTGCTTAATCAACACATCAAACAAAGTTCAGTCTCCAGGAATAGRCAGAAGTGAAACAATTACCTTAATCCCTTCAATCCTGAAGCCCAGGTTGGCACTAGAGCTGATGGTTTCTCTCCACTGCATGTACCGGGGTTTGGTGACAGCATGCTGGGCGTTCTCTTCAGCCGTGGGAGCAAGAGGATCCACTTCAATCATTTTCTTGTACATGTCCTTACGCAGCTTTGGTTTCTCTCGTGCCTTAGCCAACTCTTCCTCCAGGTATGTTCTGCAAACATCATATCCCAACATATCCTTAAAGACTTCTCCAGCATTTCTTTTTACAGCTTACAAACRGGCCTCAAGAAACATCAACTAGGAAAATAAGCCTTATCATTGCCCCAGTTTTGCATATGGGGAAACCAAAGTACACAGAGCAATGACTGTGCAGGCATATTTAGTGAAACAACCCCAGGAATCACAAACTGTAATTCACTTCTTGTTCTAACTATACCTTTACTTACTGTTACAAGTTATTGTTACTTCCTGGTTAAAGAACAGGAGAAAACTGAATTCCCACTGTGCCATAAAATAGAAATGCATTTTCAGAGGACAGTTAGGAGAGACCACTTGCAATGAAATAAAAAAAAAAAAAAACAAATAAGGCTACTGAAGATTTACTGCATTCTCTCTCTTTCAAAAACCTAACATCAGTCATGGGTAATTTTTTTAGGCCTCAGAAACTTTAAGCTTTACTTAATGCAGCTCAGTGAAAGAATCACTCTCATATAGTAAAAACTAAAGAGTAACACAGATTTATCTGAGCAGTTCCAAAACAGAAGGGGTAAAGAACAGAAAGGTGAATGGAGGGACACAACACTTCCACATTTTGCTCTTATCAATCTGTTAATCTGGAAGCCATTAGAAAGGCACTATCCATCTTCTCTAAATTCCACYGGATTCTTAAACCTTGCCCTTCATCAGGTGCCTGAAGTTCACCTTCTYCATCAACAGTGTAACAAACCAGGATGGCATTTAGGAGACGATGTCACTCATTGCCAGAATGTCACCTACTTGCAACAAAAGTTTTACCGTTGCAAATCCTTCTCCTCTTTCTTCTGAACATACCAGTGCTATATATTTCCAATTCATTAAAAATTTTGCATCTATTTGAAAAGGTGTATCTGCATTCCTGTAAGTAGAGTACCTAATTCATAACAATAACTCTTGAGCATTTGAGCTGACACACAAAGGTTATTATGACAGCTCATACTTCTCTGTACTGTTACCRTACTCTAGGATCTCAACAGATCTGTTATGCTTAGATAGTATTGTTGATGTTTCCTCTTAATCACAGACAATGAATGGAAAAGAAAGTGAGAAACTGGAGAACAAAGTGATGGCAACAGCTCCAGATGTCAGAGTAGGGAAAAACACAGGTCTGTCCTGAGCAAATGGTCAACTCTCTATAGAAAAGATCAATACCAGTGAACACTCATTGAAACACTGGAAATTGGCTTTCACACTGCTATTCAGTCATTTCCATTGCGACATGGAAATTTTACTCTTTGTGAGGCCTTCTGAATCACTGCATACACAAAGATTCAATGAACTGGCAGTGAATAAATCATGTCTTTTTTCCCCCCATGTTTTATCAGGCCACTGCAGAGAAACTTTGCCTTAAATCACCCCTGAAAATGTCTCGATGTGAATAGTTTTGGAGGCTATAGATCAGTTAGTTTCCAGAATCTGTGTACAATTTGGCAATAATGGGACATATTGTCCTCAGGTTGTCCAAGGTTTCTGTGAGCATGATCACATCTCTCCCTTCCTTCAAATGCAGAGAAAGCACATTCTCTTTCATTCACCCCACCTGATCCCCATCTTGCAGTCCATCACACTTGGCCCTTCAAAATCAGTAAGCAAATCATCCAGCTGGATGTAGCTCTCGCCATCTCTCTCCACCACACCATGGAAGCAAGGGACGCAGGCGCGTAGTGGGTCTTTCATCAATCGTTCAAAACATTCCTTTTCATTCTCTGAGAGGCGTTTGAGAATCTTCCCACTATCAGCTGCTTTGAAACTCCCTAAAAAAAGAAAATCAAACACTTGCTGACAAGATTGACATGCCAAACAGAAAAGCCCCCTCCCCCACCTTCCATCTTTCATCTCTCTCAGCCTCATGACAGCAGTTAAAGATTTCCCCTGAAGAGAAGAGATAAGATGCTCTTCATAATAAATAAAACACACAGGACAAAGAGTCACTGGCAATGAAAGTTTGTTTGGATACATTCCCATCTCATATACAAAGAATGTATAGCTTTAAGTAATGCAGTTGCTTCAGGCCATTGGGCTACTTGATTTTTTTTCCATGCTAGTCTTTGCTAGGTTATTAAACAGTACTATACTTACTAAAATGCGCTGGAAAAAGCCACGAGCCAGAACTCATTAATCCTCTGACAGGCTATTTTAAAGCTGCATAACACTGCCAGCATTGGCTTTGTCCTTAATCCTCACACAGGGTATGTACACCTGCTGAGCGTGTCCGGCCGGAGGCAGCGCGGTCAGTCAGTGGTAGTTAAACAGCCAGAACAGGCCCAAAGCCAAGCACTGCCTGTTACACACACACAGACRCACACAGGGACTGCAGGTGAACCTGCTAATCTGCTAATGCCCTGCAGGTACAGTCCGGAGGGCAACGGTGCCTTTTACAGCCCTGTGTTTGAATGGTATCCAGGACAAATGATATCTGCATAGGCAACAATTAGCAGTAATCAGACTCCACCCAAAGGGAGTTTCCAAACAATCTCCTGTCCAGCAACCTTCAACAGCATCTGAGGAAAGTACACATTTCATTCAGAGGCACCCTTTAATCTGTACGAAATAAATTGGGCACCCTGGAGATAACACTCTACCACAGTGGAATCCTTTAGCCATTGCAAACTGGTTCTTATCCGACAAATCCTAGAACTGGCACTGCCTCGGCACGAGGGTAAGGCTGGTAACAGCCCAGTTTCTAGCTCAGAAAAAAACTGTCGTATCAGAGAGGAACAGCTGCAAAAAGGGTGGACTAAACACAACCACAGAAAACTAAAAGGAAACAGGAAAAGTATCTCTCCTGATCAGCTTCTAGTAAACTCTTAACCCTCCTCTTCCACCCTACTACACAAGTCTCCAGAAGGGTTACAATTACATGATCAGTGGATCGCTCCACACAGARGAAGCCAACTCCATACACTCTGTGATAAAAACTGCATTAAGACTGGGTCGGCTTGGCACTCTGTGTGATACAAATCAGACCCAACAACAACACTGCAAAATGCAGCCACTCAATTTCTAGGGCCCAATAAATTTCTCAGCTCAGCTTTGAAGTGCACCATATTAGTGCATTAGCATATACAGAGGTAGCCCACGTACTGCATTACAACATGATGCAGCGTAGGTGCCTGCCCACRTGTGTACTAATAAACCCCCACTAGCACAGCACAAGAATTCTATGAAGCACGAGAGACACAAACCCAATGACTTCCCTTTGTTGTTTTCTTTTGCCTTATAAATGAAACTAAGCCTACATCAGGAGCACACCTACCAATTTTTACAGACACAAAACTAGAACCAACCATCTGAACTGCCCCTTGCACTCACACAGAGAACAATGACAGACTCACAATGCAAACACCCGGTCAGCAAGGCAATTTTCCACCTAAGGACCTACACTCAGATGAGGGGCTTGGTGTTGGTTTTAGAAACGCTGCCCTTGCCAGGGACGACGCACACAGGGACACAAACAGTAACCCTTCCCACTAGAGAGCTAACTATTGGCTACTCAGTCAAGAAAAGTGACCTACCACTGCAATCAACAGCATCAGACAGACCTTGGCTTTAACTCCCCAGTCTCTCTTGTTTCTCTCTAACAAGTATTTTACACGTATCACCTTACAAGCCTGGCTCTTCTCCAGTCTGACCATTGCTTGTCTAATTATGCAGATATATCATTCCCACTTCCCTATCCCCACTAAAACTGAAATGTGCTCTAGGTCACAGATTTATGTGACATTGCCTGCTTYCTTTTTACCTGAAGGAAGGAAACAGAGAAAGACTGTTGTCCTTGCTGCAGTCATCTTCATACCAGAGACAACACTTTGAAGATACCCCTCTCACCTGTATGCCCAGCCAGCTGCACCCATGAATAGCGCTTCTTGAAGGGACTGATGACTGGTAAGTTAACCATGGTTTTAATCGTATGCCATGCCTTTTTCTGGAAAAGAAAAAAAATCTTAAGTTGGGCAAAAGCTGAAATCCTGACATGCCACAAATGTATTACACGGTTTCATGCGGATTGAATTTTTCCTCACTCATTTGTAAGTGCTCAAAGGTGGAACCACAAAACAAACACTATCCTCATTGTTGGAAAAATATGCACACAAACCCAAGAATGGACAAATAAAGATAACGCCCTGCCATGCACAAGAAATCTGCCTGTAAGAAAAAAAAAAAAAAACACACACTGCACGTCACAGGCCTGTTCTTAGCCACACCTCGCCCTCTCTGTGCATGAGTCACACAGTATGTGGACAGCAGATGCTGAACGAACACACACATGCACACATACGCACATTTAAGTTTCCATGAGACATGCACATAAGCTGCTTGTCACTGTCAGCAACACTTCCTTTCCCAGAGAACTTCAGCATCACCTTGTGATTAACAGCCTTCCCCGAGTCAGCAGGTAAATCTTACTGTGTCACACGCATAGAAAGTGCATGTCTAGTTGGACACGGAGCTCACCCAGGTCCCTCAGCACCCACTGACAGCATGCTGTAGAATCTTACTCCAGGCCATGAATTTTCCTACCGCCTCCCCTCTTTCTCAATCCTGTTACTTTTTAACAAAGCTGGGAATTGCTCTGGCAACCTTTGGCTGCAGCTGTCTGGGTACCGCTGCAGGCAGACAGGGAAACAGAACAGCTGCTCACAAAGAGCAGCTGAATGCCCTGTCACAAAGGCAGAAAGAAAAAAAAAAAGTAGAAAGTGAAAAAGTCTCACGCTCTGGAACTGAAACCCTGGTGGGAGAGAACAGCAACCCACCAGCACTCATGTTACACCCAGTGGGATCCCAAAGTGTTTTATACACAAGGAGAGCAGGCTCAGTTCTTCTATCACTAGAATACGATACCCTGCTGGCAAAAAGAAAATGGAACTGCGTGATACTTATGTATGAAAATTCARTGCTGAGAGTGAATGAGTGTAGCTGGGGAGTAGACAGCATTTACAGAAGTGTTTACTAATGGCCCAACTGGAATTCACCAAAATCAATGGGAGGCATTAATGTCATTGAAAAGAAGTTTAGGTGCTTGCTCATCAACTGAAAAATAYACATTCAAAACAACAGTGTCTTCTCTAGCATGGATATTGATTTGAAGATTTAGGTGCTTAGGATACCTAATTTTTATTGTCTTCTACACTCCTGAGTGAAAAACAGAAGAAGTGAAATTGCAGGCAATCATACACAGGCAAAATGTTGCTCTCCAGATCACACTCTGACGTGACCACACCTCCCCAAACTTATTAACTTATACCACATTTCATATAAGGCACCCTCCAGCAACTCTGGTCTCCGTGTGAGGGCAAAAACCTGCAGCTATCTTAGAATGTATCAAGAGGATGTATGAACCCACAGACACGAGTGATTTTTCTTTTAAAGAAAAAATWCAAGAAAATTTTTCACAAGAAAGTTCTAAATTCTGCTTCAAATTAAACTAACATAACAATATAATTACCATATAAACATACTTACTCTGGAATGACATTGCTTTTACCTATTTAACTTTGGTGTTTGACAGAGTTCAAGCTGAAATGAAGTCACTCTTGGTCAGATATGTGCCCCATAGAGAGTAACACTTTTGAGAACATACTGTGCCAGTGAGGGGAAGCATCCACAGAAAATCCTTGATGTCTGAGAATTATGAAGACTCAGTTGCACTTACTAGAACTCCACAGATGTTACTAGCTCTAGCTAAACTCCARTTTCATAAATAACTCCTACAGGTTCATAAGCTATATTATTTGGATTTCATATTTCATATTATTTGCCTTAAGCTGTTCCAAAATGCAGCCTTGTAGTGCTAAACAGTGACATTTCTCTRTCACAAACCTCACTGCTGTTTCGTGAGGATGAGAGAGACTCTTGTACACCACTTACACATGTCCAGAGCCCCCTTCTGTAGGAAAGTGCAATATAAATATTGCTTTTCAAATAGCAAAGAAATTATTTTTGTTTAGTTTATTTGTCAGATTTCACTGACAGCAGAAGCTCTTCAGTATACTCTGCTGTTTCTACTTCAGAAGGACAGAGCCCCAAGTTATTTAAACAATAGTTAAAAATAAACATCATTATGAAGTGAAATGGCCTCTTTGAATATTAACTCCTGCTAAAGATTTAGATTTTTAAGATTCCAGACTAGTTTTTCAGGGCAACACTGCTTTTTCCCCATCTCTTGATCAGAAGTCAACATTGCTCCATAACTCTCCCATCAAGATCCCTTACACATCATAATATGCCACTCCTAACAAACTGCAGTCTGTCTCCCAATGACTTGTCATACTGCTATATGCATCAGTAATGAGAAGCACAGATCAGATTCTCAACGAATGCACATCAACTGTCAATGCAACATCACACTCCAGTGGCTCTCCAGCCTCCTCCCTCCCACCTAACACTAAGAAGCTGAAGCTTTTATTTGTACTGTGGGYGTAAAGGAGAGACAATGGGCCAAATTCAGCCCCAGCTCAAGTGGACTTTGGCTGCTTAGGTTACAGCTGCCTTGGATAAGTATGCTTAAGTTACTCATCCAATAAATAGACTCTGACAATTTTTATTTACCTTTTTGAATTTTAAACAAACAATCTCTTCATAAACCTTTCCTTCCCTCAAGACAGGGAAAGCAGAAGGCTCAGGCCAGAAGGGAAAGGACTGCCTTTAGACCTGTCCTGTGGGGGGTGCTGCCATCAGCATGGGTTCAGCAGTTTCACTTTATCTCAACTTCTGGTCTCCCAGCTCACTCAACCCAGGATACAAATTGCCAGGATGCAAGCAGGGCTGCATGCTGGTGGAGCAGTGGTGTGAGTGGGAAGATGAAAACTTTGTGTGCTTGCTGTAGGAGGAATGTTTCTCACTTCTATTTCTAAAGCAAGAACTCTTCTTTGTTAGCAATGGTATTATGTGCTTTTCAAACCACCGCTTTATGTTGCAATGGCAAAGAGCACTTCTACTGCTGCCCATCTGTATTGGCAGATACAAATTATTCCCCTCTGTCCCTGTTTCTTCTAGATTCTTACTCAGTCTTCCTTGATCTTTTGTTCTGCCTGAGTTTCTCCAAGACCTCACTTCTAGATTCCCTGGGGAAACTCAGGTATCTATGTACTGTATTTGTATTCACGATTGCCTGAATCAGATGCTCTTGACATCACTGATGCCATTTTAAATGTCTCAGTATGCTCAAGAGTTTTCCATCTGTACAAAGGAAGGCATCCTAAAAGGGTCCAGAAGCATACATAGACTGTATTAACATTCTTAGATTCAGCATGTAAGCTACTCGATGTGAACAGTAGCTGACACCCGATATAAACCCCCCTGAGCAATRAAAGGTGTGGGGCACTAGAAGGGGAAAAGTGGGTTTTCTGCCAATGGGGCAGCCCATATGACAGTCTGTGCCATGCCAAGTGTGTCTCTGGCAGCAAACGGACAGAATTTCAGGGAAGAAAATGGGGGAAACGATTCATGCAATGCAGCCCCAACACCTGCAAAGAAGCTATGGTTTGGTATCTAACACTGATGTGTTACCTGGATTACTCTTTTACTCTCTTTTCTGAATTTGAAGCACAGCTCTGAAGAGAGGCTCACATCCATGCATCAGATGTGGAGACCTGCTCTGTCCATTTGCAGACAAGATGCTGGTCTGTATTCTCAACTTATTCAACCCTGGATAAGGGCACCTGCTGCAATCATGTCTATCCATTAAGGAAGAGAAAAGAGCAGCAGCAACTGAGTGCCACTGGCTTCTGTGAGCACGGCTTTCTCCAGGCCTTTTCTCATGATGAGCACACAATTTCACACATGACCAGCCTGCAGAGCCACAGCCAGGGTGAGGCTGCACAAATACACCAGGAGGACTTGTCCGATGAAAATCCACAAAACTCTCTGGGAGGGGTTTCCTCCATTTCAAGGGGTTTGGGCTCAGACCCCACTGTCCCCAGGAAYTGGTCTCCAGGAACTACCAGGCTTTCCTGAAACCCTCCCATCACTTCAGGACAAGTGCTATAGCATCCTAACAGGCAAGCTCACTAAAGAGATGAGTGCAAACTCCCTGAACTGGATGGAGACTTTTTGGTTGCTGTTGTTGTTTTACAGGCAGTACAGAACAACTAAAATCTCTCTGAGCATCTGCTGAATCCCTCAGAACAGGAGAGCCACTCTAATTCCTAAAGCCAGAGGCAGATAGGGATCTGAACCTTCCTCTGCTGTTCTGTGGAAAAATAAAATCTCTCACTTATTTAAAGGTAAAAAGAAAACAAAAATATCTCAGTTCTGTGAACATCTGAAACACGTGTAGCTACCCACAGGCAAGAAATTACACGCTGGTAACACACACTAGAATTTGTTTCACTTCGGAGCTTTCAGCAATTACAGTAATTAATAACATCAGTGACATCTAAATTAGGAAGCTCTGGGGGTAGGGGGAATAAGAAAAACCTTTTCTTCAGAAAAATGAAGTAATTCAGCTTCCATAATTATAGCATATTTCTTGAAACTATAATGAATTAAAGAACAAAAGAACACCAAAATCCAATATAAATCAACAGGGTCTTTAAAAACATCCATGATTCCATCAGCAGCAGAGTGGAAGAGTAGTTTCTTGCCTGAGCTGGCAAATAATCATGGAAATTCTGCTAGACTATTGTAAACGATGACCCTTGAATCCTTTTACCAGGTACATTTCAGCAGTTTCTTTATCCAAGATCCTGTTGTCTTTTTTTGTGCGCTAGTACAAAGCCCACACAAGAAAGCTATTATGACAGCAAGAAACAAAAGGATAATGAGAATTTTTTTAGTATCTTTTTTTTTCCCTAAAAGGCTTTAAGAAAGAGTACTTAATTGTCAGTCATCATAATCTACTGTTCTCTTAAAGTCTTTACATCATTCAGGCTAAATTCTGCCACTCTGGGACATGGGGGCTGAAATCTAATCTGTAATGCTGGA